TAATAATCTTTAATAACAATTTAGGTTGCAATCTCTCGCATACTTACAAATTTTCCTGTGCTAACAATTCCACCACTTATGCTCTCGCAACTTGAAAAGACAAGATTATTAAACAATAATCCTAAGTTTGCTATTCCAATTAACTTTGGTATGTGACCTTTTATTATTAAAAATTTCCACGAGTTTATTTTCTCTAACTTTAATTAATACTGATATCTTTCAATATTGTATTACTAAAGGCCTTATAACGTTATCCTTACCATTAGCAATCGCAGCTATTCCGCAAAAAGCTATACGTCACTTATTTTGAAATAAATACGTCACTTATTTTAGCTGAAATCGGACACCCGGAACATTAATTCTGAATCCCCCTATTGCTATTGTTATATACAATTTTATCATTCATTTTAAACATTCGATTTAGGGTTTTCTCAAGCAACTCTTTTTCTAAAAAATTTTAGAAACTGTTCATATTATCTTTTTACAATGATTCTCGAGACGAAAAACGATAACTCCCTAAATGAAATCTAGATCGTGCACAAGCATTATAAATAATTTTTATAGCAATATTGTAAAAGACTCATAGTTCAGAATGTGGATATTAAGGGCGTTTTCAAGCAGCACCCTCAATATGATTTGAAAGTGATCTGAGACGTTGTTCAAGCATTACCATTAATTGAAGTGATTATTACGATTAAATGATAACGAGATGCTGAAAATTCATTGTGCGAATTGCGGATGATTTTAAATTTTTAGCCTATTTTCCGCTAATTAAAAACTGATCCATTGATTTAGGCGCTTGAGAACACCCTAAAATAATTATTAAAAGATAAGATTTCAAATTGATGTTAACTTATAAAAAAATCATTTAGAATAAATTTTATTAATTATAAGAATTATAAAATTAAAATAGTAATTAAAAATATTTATGTAAAGAATAACAAAATGCTTTATTTCTTTAGAACAAGTTAACTGTTTTTATAAAGAGCTTTCGATAATATTTTATCATTATTGAAATATTAAATTACTAATGCCTTTTTCGTACTTAAAGTAGTTAATGTTATCACAAATTCTTTTCTTCATTTAAATATATAAACTAGTCAGAGTAGAGTATTAAGTAATGCTTTTTCTTTATCATATATAATAACGTATTCTTGCAAATGGCTCAGTAATTCTTTTCTTCTCTCGAAACCAAATTGGTTTGAAATAAGATTTAAAAAGAGTTCTTGTAAAGAGTATTTTCTAATGGTTTTTCCTTCTAACAAGCTGGGACTTAAAGAGTTAGCTGAATATATACAGTCTTATCTTATTGATAATAAGGCATCTTGGCTTCGATTAAAATTTACTCAAGTTTATAGCACCAGTTTTCAAGTCGATAGTTTTAAGAAATTACAAGCTTTTTGTACTGATATTCTTGTAAAACATCCTAACCTGATTTTTGATTCTGAAGACTTTATTTCCATTCAAGAAAATGTACTGTTAGCCCTTTTAAAACGAGAAGATTTGCAATTAGAGGAAACAGAAATTTGGGATAAAGTTATTGAATGGGGAAAAGCACAAACTCCAAACCTACCATCTGAACTTGAACAATGAGATAACGAGAATTTTTTAGTCTTAAAGACTACTCTTAATAATTGTATTCCTCTAATTAGATATTTTCAAATGTCTGGAGAGGATCTTGTAAAAAAAGTTAGACCTTATAGACAAATTCTTGGATTAAACTTATGGGAAGACATTACAATAAGAATTATGTCACCTAACGAATCTATTTCTTCAACTATTTTATCTGCTCGTAAAAAGATTTCTATTCAGCTTCCTGTTCGTGAAGTTTCTTTCGTTAATCCATCATCTCTTATTAATGATGAACATTTTGCAGAGATTTCATCTTGGATTGATCATAAACAGTTAACATATGAAGTTACAAAAATACCTTATAAATTTAAGTTACTTTTTAGAGGAAGTAAAGATGGATTTACACGTGAAAAATTTCATAGATTATGCGATAATATACCTGGTACCATTACTATTCTTAAAGTTAATGGCAAAAATAAAATATTTGGTGGATATAATCCGTTAGAATGGTCATCTAAAAATATTTGGTTAAAAACGGCTGATAGTTTTATTTTTTCATTACAAGTACAAAATATACCAAGCTCTATCTTTAGTAGAGTTATCCATGAAAATAATGTAATTGGATGTTTTCCATATTATGGTCCAACTTTTGGTGGGTTGTTCTATATGCAAAGTGATAATTCATGGATATATCGTCATAATACTTCATACTACGAAAAAAGTCTTGAAGATAATTTTGACCTTTCAATAGATGAATTAGAAGTATTCCAAGTCTTGAAACAGTAATTAAAATTTAAACAGGTAACAATATGCATGTCGCACCTTGTACATTATGGAGTAATTTTTAAAAGTTGGGACTAAAGCATTTATATAGTGACTTTCAGCATCATATAATTTAGTTGATTAAATAAAACTAGCTAATTTTATTAAACTTATTTTAGTAAAATTTAATTATTTTATAATAATAATAACATTACCGAACGAGTACTTTTTTAAAATATTTAATAACCTAGCTTCTAATTCTAAATGCTTATTTCCATGCCTTAGGGATAAGAAACTTATAATGTTATTTCTTTCAATGTTAAATGCCAAAGAATAAGCTCTGTTCATTACGGCGCATTTGAGTTGACTAGACTATAAAGTTTGTCATTTATTATTTTTTATTTGACTTTACAATATGAAAATGTCAAATAAAAAATAGTTTAGTCAATACTTAAAAATACTCAAATGTAATTCCTTTTAATATAAATTAAACAAAATCTCTATTTGAATATATTATAACTCTTGGATTTAGTGGTTTATATAAACAAATAAAAAAAAATTGATTGTTAGCAATTTAATTTATGAGCTTCAAAGCGTTATTAAATTTTTCTAAGAATAAGTAAAATTTATTCCTTTACAATCATTCCTATTAAATCTAAAATATTTAACAAAAGAAATATTAGTAAAGATTCTTTACTACTCTGACTTCTTTAAAAGTCATAATCTTGAATAAATTTTAATCGAAGCTAAGATACCTTATTATTAATAAGATAAGACTGTACATATTTAGCTAACTCTTTAAGTTTTAGCTAGTTAGAAAGAATTAAAAGATCAAATATGATAGATGGTTTAATCTTATCTAATTGAATTTTGCCAGTATATATGTACCTAAATTAACCAATTTTTTTTATTAGCATATACTGTAAATAACTATAAATTACTTAATAAATAACTTACTTAATTAAAATTTTAAAAGCTTCAACAGAAATATCTAGTAATGTGATTTCTATAATATTATTCTTTTTAATTGCATTTGTTAATTCTTGATGAAAGAAGAATAAACATTGATATAAAACTAATGAATGTAGCTTAAAACTTTGTTCAATAACTTTAGTAATAACATTATAATCATATTTACTTTCAAGAAGTTGTGCAAAATCATTAGAAAAATATTCAAGCAATTGAGTACCTACATATTGTATAAATAGTATTTTTTGATAGCTTTATAAATCGCTAACTATAAATGTATCAAAAAAAAGTAACCATAACTTAGACATAGCTTTAGCTATTCCTAGTATAGACAAGATCAGCAATTTTAAAATAACATTGTCAAAATTAAGTTAAATGTTTTTAATGATTTAATTTCTTAAAAGTGAATGTAATTATAATGTTATTGCTAAAGTTAAAAAACAAAATTTTATGTTCACTGGGTTTATATCAAGCTCATTTTCCTTTCGTCAAAAAAATTACTATATTTATATATTAATAAAAATCTATTAATTTAGGTACATACAGTATATACTGGCAAAATTCAATTAGAATAGATCAATTCATCTACCATATTTGCACTTTTAGTCTCTTGTAACAAGCTAGGACTTAAAAAGTTAGTTGAATATATACAGTTTTATTTTATTGAACAAAGCATCTTGGCTTTGATTTAATTTACTCAAGTTTATGACACCAATTATATAATGATAATTTAAGCCTTACAAGATTTTGCACTGATATCCTCATGAAATATCCTAACCTTATTTTTTGATTCTGATAACTTTATTCTTATTCAAGAAAATATAATTTTAAAATGAGATTACTAAAAAGGTTAAACCTCATTAACAAATTCTTGGATTAAACTTATGAGAGGACTTTACTACAAAGATTATGGCTTCTAATGAATTTATTTCTTCAACTATTTTACTTGCTCGTAAAAAGATTCATATCAACTTCTGACTATGAAGTTTTTTTGTTAATTCATTCTTATTAATGATGAACATTTTGCAAAGATTTCAACTTGGATTGATCGTCAACTGTATTTTTAAATTGTCATTTATTTGTGATACAAAGAAAATGATCAATTAACCCTAGCTGATCTGCTGATACATATGAAAGCAAAACAAAATATTAATGCTAAGAAAATATATATTAAACCTGCTATGCAGCACTAATTAAAAATTATTACGTACAGTACGTATAATAAAACATTAATAAAAGAAAAATTGATTATTTTTTTTGTTAATTTCCTTTTTTTTGAATTTGTTTTTTTTTTTTTTTTGTATTAAAGGTGAGGTCATGTCTCTATCTTTATTGATAATTTAATTGAGATTCTGCAAGGAGTTTCTCAATATAAAGAATTAA